CTCCCTGGACCTTGGATCAATCATTAACAGAACCCTCCTTTCATTCAGCTCTCTTCTGGGTGTTCCCTTCACCGCCACCTACCTGAGTCTTGACTGTGTCCTTGGACACTCTGCTTCCCCTGCAGCCCTCTGGGTGTTGGTGGTGGCTGGGCTGGCCTCTGGCCCCCAGGGCCTGGAGGTAGGGGAGGGCTCCTCTTGCTACCATCGCAACCCCCACCCACCTTCTCCATGAACACCCTGCTTTGAGCATCTTATCATCCGACCGGATCACTTAGCCTCCAGTCATTTAAAAATCACTATTTCATTATTTTAATACCAGAATCACTCTCACTCTCTTCAATATTACCCTATCTCGAGTCTTAGCAATTTCAAGTTATGCACACATGATCTTTCTACCACGCCGGCCTCTCCTCTAACGATCTTGTCCTCCATCTGACCTCAGCAACTCATTTCCATGGCCATAGCCTAGGCCAGCGCTGCCCAAAAGAACTTTTGCAGTGATGGAAAAGTTTTATATCCATTCTGTCCAATAGGGTGGTCTTAGTCCCATGTCACATGGGGTTACTGAGCACTGGAAATACAAAGTAAGTAGTATATGAGGAACTAAATTTTAAATTTTATTTAACGTTTAATTTAGATGTAAGGCATCTGCGCTTGTGTTCTTTCTTCTCTCCTGTTTCTATAGATGAACTTAGCTCCTCACTCAACTCACCACTGGAAATTCTCCCTCCTTCATCAGTTTTCCCTTCTCTACAAGGTTATAACCATCAACCTACAAACATGCTGCTATTTCTCCTATCTTAAAAAAAAAAACAACAACTCTTTAGGCCCCAGCTCCCCATCTGGCTACTGCTGTATTTCCCTCATTCCCTCTGGAGCAAAACTCCTTAAAAGAATTGTCTGTGCTCACAGACACTAGTGCCTCTCCTCCCATTATTTTCTGAGTCTCCCTCTGCAACTGTTCGTCCCCGGGTACCCATGGCCTCTGTAGTGCCAGATCCAGGGATTCTTTCCCAGTCCCCACCTGGGTTGACCTATCAGCAGCATTTTACGCAGTTGCTTGATGACGCCCTCCTCCTTCAAATACTGTTTTTGCTTGGCTTCCGGAACAGCACACTCACCTGGTCTTCCGCCTGCCTTTGGGCTGCTCCATTTTCATCTCCTAAAATAGTTTCTTCTTCCTCAACTCCTCCACCTCTAAATGGAATGCCCAGGGGGGCTTAGTCTTCAGATCCCTTCATTTTCTATTTACTCCTTCCTTAGTTGATCTCATCTAGTCTAGTAACTTTAAACATCACCTATATGTTAATCATTCCTACATTTTTATCTCCAATACAGATCACTCCCTGAAGTCCAGGCCAATGTATCCAATTGGTAGCTGGAATCTCACATCTAACAGGTCCTGAATTGAACTCTTGATATCTCCCTTTCTACTTGCTTTTCCTACAGTCTTCCCATCTGAATTAAGGGCAATTCCATTTGTCTAGCTACTCAGCCAAAAACCTTACACTTAGCCTTGTTTCCGCCCCCACCCCTATGCATTGTATCCGACCCATCAGCAAATGTCATTGATTTCATCTTCAAATTATAACCAGAAACTGATCATTTCTCCCCCATCCATCGCAACTGTCTTGTTCGTCGCAACTGTCTTGTTCTGAGTCTTGTTCTGTCTTGTCCAGAATTGTTCTTCAATTCTGCCCTTGTTCCTGCAGTCGACCTTAAAAATCAGCCAGCGTGATCTTGTTAAAATTTAAGTCACATCGTGTCACTCTCCTGCTCTAGTGGCTCCCAGCTCACTTGGAATAAAAGCCAAAGTCCTTATTATGACCTTCAAGGTCCAACAAGATCGGGACTCCATTACCTCTTTGCCTTACCTCCATCTTCTCCTCCCCTAATTTTCTGAAGTCTGGCTAAACTGGCCTTCCCGCTGCTCCAGGAACTTAGCTCCTACCTTTGGGCCTTTGCACGTGCTGTTCCTCCGCAGGGACTGCCCTCCGCCCAGGTATCTTCATGGCTAGTTCCTTCATTTCCTTTGGGTCTATTCCAATGTCACCTTTTACTGAGGCTTTGCTTGGCTCTGCTATCTAAAAATTTTACACCCCTCCCCAACACTTTATTTCCCCTTTCGTGTATTATTTTTTCTCCTTGCACTTAGTGTTACCTAACATACCACTAAATGTTATTTATCTGTTTTATTGTCTGTCTCCCCGGGAGAATATAAGCTCCACGATGGGAAGGGTTTTTGTTAGTTCTACTTACTGTGGTATCCCGTGGCCTTGATCAGTGTCTGACTTATTCACTTACTTATTGAGTGAGTTAATAAAACAAAATGATTCATTAATATCCTTAGAACATTGCCTAGCACGTAGTAATAGCTTTATTAATCTTAGCTGATTTTTTATTGCTACAATCATCATCATCTTCCTCACTACTGGATTTGTCCCTTCTCTCTGTCCCTGCAGCAGTTTCCCCATGGCGGGCTCTCAGGATCTCTCACCGAGACTATCTCAGTAGTTTCCAGATTGTTTCCCAGCTACTGGTTTCGCCTCCTTTAGACCTACCCACTGCTTCTGTCTTATGTTTCTTGAAAACAAATTTGCTCCTTTCATGCCCCTGTCAAAAACTCTTTCAGTGATTCCCCCGCTGCTTTCGTGCGAAAGTCCCAGCACCCACATGACAGACAGCAGAGCCTGCCGAGATCCAGCCCTGCTCACCCCTGCAGCCTCCTTCTCTTCACGCTCTTCTTACGCTCAAGACACCCCCACGCGCCTTGCCCTTTCGAAACACTGTGCCTTTCTCTGTCGAGAACACCCCGCCCGGCTTGTCTGCCTAGTCAGCTCCTAGTCATCTTCCAAAACCCTCTCCAGGCGAGCGCATCCTCCCCTGCAGAATTTGTTCCTGTCTGCTTTGTGCTGTGTCTCTTCCTTATGCATACCCACTGGGTGCTGCCTCACACCTACTGTGTGTCTTTGCACATGTTCTGCCCCCTTAACTGAGTCCGATTTGCTCCTATTCCTGTCTGCCTCTCCTGCTTGGTGTAAATTCTTTTTACAAAGCCTAATGTTTCTTGAGCTGAGGTGGACTCCGGGACCTGCCCCAGCCATACTTCTTCAATCATGTTTGTTCACAGCCTTGTAGAATGTACGCTCCTTAGCGGGGGGTGCAGCCCTGACCAGCGCTCTGTGAGGGCAGGGACCCCGTTGGTTACTACTCACCTCCATACACCAAGCACCTGGCTGATAGTAGGCCCTTCGTTTGTTGAATGGATGCTTGACGGCTTGCATATGTCCCTGGAGGATATGGGCTAATTTGGGTGAGGATATGCAAAGTCACACGGATCAAAGCTTATTTTCCTGTGACATCCATTTTACTTGAAGATTTGAGGGGAAAATAGTAAAGAATTTAACTACTTTTTAACTTATAGTGTATATCAAAACAAACATATATTATGAATAAGAATATTAAATTCACAAGAACTTGAAAGACCAAAGAGAACACTTCAAGGAAATTTCGAGTTTGTGGCAGGTCCCTGAGAGGTTCCTTCTGCACTGCCTGCCGGTTAAGCGGCCTCAGTGGGAAGGTTCTGAAGCGCCGGCTCCTGCAGCCACCGCTCAGTTTTCCTTGCTCATATCGGCGCTGTTGGAGGCCCCATCTGCACCCCCAGGCGCGGTGCCCATTCATTATTTGAGGCTTTCCTCCTGCCATCCCTTACCTTCAGACTGAAGGGGGACCTTCGGACCCCTAGAATCCATTCCTACTCCTTCAAAACATAACACCCACCTTAGCAGATATTTGCTAATCTAGGAGATACCCAGTATCTTAATCCCTTCCTCCTTCAGGGGCTTCCCACTGTGTGCATCTCTGTAGGAGGCAGGACACTACTTGTCACTGCATGATTTTGGCTGCAGTTTCTTTGACCCAGCTGGCCTTGGTTCCTGCCTGGTTTCTTGATCCAGGTTATGCTGCCTTCTGTCGATCCCATGAGCTACCTTGTAGCCTTCCAATAAATGATTTCTTCCTTAAATTAACTAAATTTCTGTTGCTTTCAAATAAGAACCTTGACTGATATTACACACACACACACACACCTGTCTTTATTTAAAATTATGTTTAGCTAGCATTCAATGAGCATTTACTATAGGGCAAGCACTATGCTAAAATTTTATATGCATTATCTTATTTAATTTTCATAACAGCATTATGGAAAATGTACAATTATCTGCATTCTACAGATGAAGAAACAAACACAAAAGGGTTCACTATGATCCCCCCGGTCACATGGCTTGTTAAGTCCTGGACATAGGATTTAAACGCAGGGAATCTTATTCCAGAGCATCCTATACTCATCAAAATAACGTATTGCCTTACCCTCCTGAATTTAACTCTGCCTTCAAATCCTGTATTCCCTGAGAGCTCAATTCTCACTTCCTCCATGGAACCTTCCTGTCTGCTCCAGCACACACTGAAGGATCCTCTTCTCAACTCCCACAGCACCCACTGTCGATGCCAAGTAATTCACTTCCCAGTATACTGTGCTGTTATTTCAATGTCAACATGCTGTGCTACAATATACTCCACTATTATTTAGTAGTTTTTTACAGATTCATTTTTTCTCAATTCATTTCTGCTCCCCTAGAACAATCTCATACTTCTTTTGTATGCCACTTGGTAACAAAGGGTTAGGCTAGCAGAGTGCTGTATGTGACCCTAGGTCTCTATCCATAGCATGGTAGGACTTAATGAAGACTAGGGACTCCTGTTTCGGAAGTTCATTCTGTTGGACCCTAGCTGAATTCTCACTACTAACAAGAAAGATAACCGACAGTGCATAGGCTATAGGGTCAGACTGGCCCAGGTTTAATCTACTTCTGTTACTTTACAACCCAGACAAATGACTCGAGTTTGTGGAGCCTATTTCTTTTCTTGTGCAATGGAGAAAATACCTAAAATACATGGTTGTGGTGAGCATTACAGGTATTAATAAGTAAAGCCTAGCCCCGGTGCAATTCCGTCCTGTGTGGCTATTCTTTGGAGCAGTAGTCGTGTATCTCCGTCCACCTTCTCTCCTACCTAAGTGCGTGCCACCACCCCATGGAAGATTCGATGGACATGGACATGAGCTCCCTGAGGCCCCAGAACTATCTTTTCGGTTGTGAACTAAAGGCCGACAAAGATTATCACTTTAAGGTGGATAATGATGAAAATGAGCACCAGTTATCTTTAAGAACAGTCAGTTTAGGGGCTGGTGCAAAGGATGAATCGCACATTGTTGAAGCAGAGGCAATGAATTACGAAGGCAGTCCAATTAAAGTAACACTGGCAACTTTGAAAATGTCTGTACAGCCAACGGTTTCCCTTGGGGGCTTTGAAATAACACCACCCGTGGTCTTACAGTTGAAGTGTGGACCAGGGCCTGTGCATATTAGTGGGCAGCACTTAGTAGCTGTGGAAGAAGATGCAGAGTCAGAAGATGAAGAGGAGGAGGATGTGAAACTCTTAAGTATATCTGGAAAGCGATCCGCCCCTGGAGGTGGTAGCAAAGTTCCACAGAAAAAAGTAAAACTTGCTGTTGATGAAGATGATGATGATGATGATGATGAGTTTGACGATGAGGATACTGAAGAAAAAGCTCCAGTAAAGAAATCTGTATGAGATACTCCAGCCAAAAATGCATAGAAATCAAACCAAAATGGAAAAGACTCAAAACCATCAACACTAAGATCAAAGGGTCAAGAATCCTTCAAAAAACAGGAAAAAACTCCTAAAGCACCAAAAGGACCTAGTTCTGTAGAAGACATTAAGGCAAAAATGCAAGCAAGTATAGAAAAGGGTGGTTCTCTTCCCAAAGTGGAAGCAAAGTTCATCAATTATGTGAAGAATTGCTTTCGGATGACTGACCAGGAGGCTATTCAAGATCTCTGGCAGTGGAGGAAGTCCCTTTAAGAAATAGTTTAAACAGTTTGTTAAAATTTTCCATCTTATTTCATTTCTGTAACAGTTGATATCTGGCTGTCCTTTTTATAATGCAGAGTGAGAACTTTCTCTACGGTGTTTGATAAATGTTGTCCAGGTTCCATTGCCAAGAATGTGTTGTCCAAAATGCCTGTTTAGTTTTTAAAGATGGAACTCCACCCTTTGCTTGGTTTTAAGTATGTATGGAATGTTATGATAGGACATAGTAGTAGCAGTGGTCAGACATGGAAATGGTGGGGAGACAAAAATATACATGTGAAATAAACCCAGTATTTTAATAAAGTAAAATAAATAAATAAATAAATAAGTAAAGCCTAAAGTACTCCATATGAGTTTATGTTCTCTTTCTCTCACCCAAAATGGCTCTTGTGAGACATCTGAGAATCATTTTCTTTTTAACAAAATCAGATAGAGTTTCTCATGATTGACGCTTTGGGTTGGATAACCTCTTGTTGTAGGGGCTATCCTATGCGTGGCAGATGTGTGGCAGCATCCCTAGCCCAGGCCTTTATCTGTTAGGTGCTCGGAGTACTCTCCCACCCCCACCCCTCCCCTCCACCCAGTTGAGACAACCAGAAAGGTCAAATGTCCCCTGGGGGACAAAATCACTCTGACTGAGGCCCACTGAGATAAGGGATATGACATACAGCCTATATAAATGAACAGTTTATATAAACATTTTTTATAGCTCAAAATGACTTATTTACAGCTTAGGTAATCGGGATAAAATGTTGGCGATCAGGTAGGGGAAACAGAATTGACAAAAAAGACTTTACTTCTACTTGAGGAAGAAAATCCTTTCTACTTTTTGCCTAAACACCACATGCCTCTTATGGCAGCACCAACTGGGGCCGGCAGGGAAGCCTGGGTCCGCATGATCAGTTCTGTCCAGGAGTATCTCAAGCAGACAAACTGCCTTAAAAGTTTGAAATAACTTCCTCTTCCTGTTTGAATTTAAATAAAGACATTTAAAAAAAAAAGTGGAGGGAGGTCTTTCTACTTCTTTCCTACCGCACAACAACACGACTACCTGCTATAGTCTCTTGGTAAATGCTGAAAAAAAATCTGATTTGATCAGTTATTATCAACAATCAAAATCACTCATAGAGTCTTTGACCAGACTCCCACAGTGAGCATTTTGAAGAAAAAGGTAACAAGAACTTAAATATTATTGTTCTTTTTTGAGATTGAAAGAACATTTTCAATATTTCTGAATCCAGTTTAAAACTGTTACAAGGAAGAAAGAGATGAATTTATAGGTGAAGGTTTAAATGTTCCTACACATACCTGGATTTCCCAGTCCCTGGCAAGCACCATTCTACTTGCGTCTCTATGAATTTGACTCTTCTAAATACCACATAAAGTACTTGCCCTTTTGTGACTGGCTTATTTCATTTAGTATGATGTATTCAAGGTTCATCCATGCTGTAACATGTGTCAGAATTTCCTTCCTTTTTAAGGTTGAATAGTATTCCATTTTATGTATATACCACATTTTGTTTATCTGTTTTTCTGTTCATGGACATTTGGATTGTTTCCGCCTTTTGGCTATTGTGAAAAATGCTGCTATGAACATCTGTTCAAGTCCTTGTTTACAATTCTTTTGGGTATATACCCAGGGATGGAATTGCTGGGTCATACGTTAATTCTTATTTTAATTTTTTTGAAGACTTATCATACTGTTTTCCATAGCAGTATACCATTTTATATTCCTACCAACAGTTTACCAGAGTTCCATTTTTTTCACATCCTCATCAATACCTGTTATCGTCTGTTTTTTGGTAGTAGCTCTCCTAATAGATGTGAGGTAGAGTTTTCAATATAGTCCTAAAAACCAATTTATAATATATAAGTTTTTATTAAGACATTAGTTAAGAAAAACCTCTACTGGCAAATCTAATAACTACCACAATTTCAAAGTAATGATGAGCCTTGACAATATTTTGAGATATCTACAATAACTGCCATATAATATGAAGGTATCTGTGATTTCTATTAGTGACAAAGCACAGCTAACATGTTGCTAATGTTACTGTGGTTTGTTACCTACTTCTACAATTGAAGGAAATGCCTATTGTCAGTTAGAAATTAGTGGAAATAAAAAGTGATTATTTCTCCATACAAGTTTATGAACCCTGCATATTATCCTTGAACACCGTGGGGCTCAGAGACCCCAGGTTAAGAACTACTGATCTAGTTTCTCCCTCGTTTTATAGGTGAGGAAAATGAGGCTTCCAGGGTTTAAGTGATCTACCGAGAGTCACATAGTTGGTGGCAGAGCTAGGGCTATAACTCAGTCGTCCAATTCCTAGTCCTGTGTGCTCCTTATCCTAGACATCCCGTGCAAAATGGTCCCCATCTGAGCCATCTCTATACGCACTGCCGAAGCCCTTAGCTCATTTCCCTGCACATAGTATTAGTTCTCAGTAAATATAGAGGATGAATGGTATGTATTATAGGCAAGGGAGACCAGAGCTGTACACAGGACCGGCCCCCTTTGCTGAGAATCTTAGTGTGAAGGCATTTTTTTTCTATCCAGCAGCAACAATATAGACATTCTTATTTTGCTTGTATGAATAAAGAAGATGGTATTAAAAATCACAGATGTTGTTTTGGTTCCAGCATGCATATGTAACAAACATTTTTTTCAAGGCAATTCGTGAAAGCCTGGTCTTTTAAAAAGTTGTCTGACATTAATATTTAGACATAGGTCTTAGAAAATAGTTCCAGATTTAAAACCATTTTTTAAAATATTTTTTATCATTTAAGTCATGTGTTTTGGAAGCTATGTCAACTATTTGCATACATCCCCATATCTCTTCTTACCCAGTGTTCAGTTTCTAAGACGTTAGCTGAGTCCTGTTGACAAAGAACTCGACTGCAGCCTGGAAGCTGAACAAACAGAAGCAAAGACCCAGAGAAGAATCAGACGATGAACTCAGCCTTTCTCTACGTTTCCTTACGTCGCCTTTAGATTCTCGTTTACGAACTGATGTCATATGATTTATTTTGCTAGTAGTTTTAAGTTTGCTCTTAAAACTTACGATGATGTGATAAAGCTGAAAAGATGACAATTCTTCTAAAGTAGATATTTTTTATTGTTATGTGAATTTAGATTAGTTAGAGTTGTCATTTGTGTGATATACACTCTGCTACAGTTGAATATTTGATGTCAGTTTTCTAGTCCGTGCTGGGCTGGCTGTTAGAACCAACTTTCTGTTTGTTTGGTTAGGAGAGAAATTTTAAGCTGTGTGTTTGCTTCAGTTTTTATCTGTGCCGGCAGGGTGCTTACCTATGCATTTGCCAGATTACACTGACATTTGTTCCTGGAAGGGAATCCCGTCCACGTTGGATGTGTCTGTAAACTCGATGCATCAGGCTTTTCTCGGAGGCAAAGGGCCAAATCTCTTAAGAACCTTTACCTGTGTCACAGCCAAGTGACTGGTGTTCTTTTGTCTAAACACGTGGACTGTTCCCTAGACAGATTTAAAACTCACTGGCGGAGGGGAGATGTTGGAATAATTTGGTGTCATTTTTATTTTGTTTTCTTGGCTTTGGGGAATAATACAAAAAGCGCTTTACGTTTTTAAGCTTCCAAGCTCCTTAGATGATGCTTCCAGCGTTTGTTGTCTGGCATGCAAGTCCTATCCAGTTCATGAATCCTATCTCCATGACACAAGTCATATTTTTGCTTTTTAATACTTGACAGTCTCGTGGTATTTAAAGCTGAATAAATACACACATTCTCACAAGGCAGGGAAGCAACCACGCAGGTTTGCCAAGACCACATGTAGTGAGGTACTTAAGAAACCTGCTGTTCTTGAAACATGTTTGACAAGAGTGCTGTGCCCTGTAGCATATATTCAACTCTGATTTTCTAACGTCCAGAATTATCATTTTATTTGATCTCCACCCAGTTGTTTTCTTTTATCTTTTGTTCTTGGCACCTGAATAGGGCTGTCTGCTAAAAATTATAAAAAAATATGGCCCCGGATTACACTGTGTTCTGCCAGATCATCAACCGTCCAAGGAGGTCAATGCAAGTCTCCCTTTAAATCAGGCCTGTTACTGTGTATTTCCAGATTGAAAAAATAAAATAGAATCAGTAGGTGGGTTGTGCCTATACATTAAGAGATTAATTCCAACAAGGTGTGACGCCCACTGGGGAACCTAGTGAGGGGTCTTAAATTGCAAGGGCGTTTTAACCCTTGCTCCTTTGAATTCCTTTTCTGACAAAAGAAGGCTGCTGACCAAAGATCAAAGAATACCCAGTAGCAATTCTCCCACCCTCCACACACACATGTGTAGGAAGGTTCACAAGGGGAAAAAGAGGATGGGACCTAATCTCTGTTTGTGTAGAATGATTTGGAAAGCAGAAGAGTTCCCCCCTTTTATCCTCCTCTTCTGCGTCCCCTGACCATCACCTCTTCCGCAGATGTTTGCCATTCTAGTAATAGCACTATCCTCTCCCTTCACTTTCTTTGAAATGTCCCATAGTCCCGAGAGGCTGCAGCTGCAGGGGGAGATCTGACCAGTCAGTGTGTGACATCACCGGCTCCTGTCCTTCCCTCAGGCCAGCAGTGTGCAGGACAGCGAGGGATCCGGGGCTCTGGACCTGTTCTTAAGTTAAACCATCATTTTGCCCATTTGCTCTTATATTGCCCATCAGTCACACATGTTTATTGAGCACATACTACTGGAGCACTGTTCCAGATGCTGGGATACAGTGGTACAGAGCGAATAAGAAAAACAAGGTTCTCAGGCCGGGCGCGGTGGCTCACGCCTGTAATCCTAGCTCTCTGGGAGGCCGAGGCGGGCGGATTGTTTGAGCTCAGGAGTTCAAAACCAGCCTGAGCAAGAGCGAGACCCCGTCTCTACTAAAAAATTAGAAAGAAATTAATTGGACAACTAAAAATATATAGAAAAAATTAGCTGGGCATGGTGGCACATGCCTGTAGTCCCAGCTACGG